TCCCATAGATCTGGTGAAGCAACCCAAGCTCCAGCACAATTCCTCGATGGTACGCCGAGTTTTGCGGGTGTTGGGCGGTTTATACCGCACACAATTTAGAATCTTAGGCTCAAGACTGGCACGTCGCGACGGCTGCAAAACTGCCTGAAACAATTCCAGCGGAAAGTTCTCGTCCGCCTTACACTCCTGCATAACATGAGAGCGAAGCACCTCCAGATGGCGCTTCTGCAAGCTAAGATCGCGTCCGAGATCCGACAGAACTGACGAGTGAGTCGGTAGTCCTTTCAAATACTTCTCTGCTGCAGCACATAAAATCTTCCTGCTCTGCTCGTCCGATTCAAAATCCGCAGACTCGTCAAACATTTGCGGTCTGAACTCTGCAGCGAACCGTGGCAGGTGGATGATGTTCAGGCGCCTCATCGCTGGCCGAGCCACGATCATCATCCGCTTGACCACCAGTCCGTTCGAAATGAGCGTATCCAGACAATTGTGCAGCCTCTTAACGGTTCCACCACTCAACAAACTGGTCAGAGTCGTCACTGTCACTCCCTGCACGCGCGCGCGACCCACTGCCTCGAGGATAACGAGATGTTCCGCTCCGAGGTCCGCGGCGATAGCCTTCACCGGGATATTGAGCGCTCGATGGCGTAGTTCTTCGCATGCTGCCACCATCACCTGTTTGTCTTGTTCCTGTTGCTCCGCCACTGCCTCTTCGTACGTGAGCAACGCCATTTCCTCGGTCGTCAGCGCAGTCGTGTCATCTACCGCAAGAACTCCAGCAGCTTGCAGCATCTCGCGTTTGATCTCTACTAGGTTATCTTCATTATCAGTGGGTCCAGGTCGTTTGCGCTTCTTGCTGAGCTTCTGAATGGAGGTCGCGGAGCCTCGGAAGAAGTGCAAGACGCCGTGACTCGAGCGCAGTCGCCGCCACACCTGCCGGCGCACAAACACGTCGTCACTCGACTCCACGCTGGAGAATAAAGAAGCTACAGACAATCCAGAGCTTCCTTCAAGCGCGATGTGGTCCATGCACGCGGCCACCAGATCGCGTGGCGAGCGCGAAGACATTGCGTCAAAGATGCTGGGGTTTGGATGGCGATGGTGATCGGAGTCACTAAATTTGGAATTTGTGATGGATTGATTCATGGTTCTAAATCGTGTTCCAGAACGGGATAAAACGGCCAATTGCAAGTGTCATAGAAACGTGAACAATACTGAGCGCCAGTCAATCCTCCACTTTCCCCTTTCCGAGACACTGACGATGCATCCGACGGTGCTGCAGCAAGCGCGGCGGTCGCTGTGGCGAATGGCTCGCTGGCAATCCCAACTACCCGCGCGGGTACTGGCGCATAGCCTTTTAACACAATCTCTCAATGCATCTACTCACGCAGTCAGTGCCAATAATGACATCCTCACCGACCCGCAACCGCAGCTCCAGGAGCGCAAAACTACTACCAGTAACAAGAGTTTTAACCTCATGAACACACACTCTCTGGGGCGAGATGCGGCGCAGACTAGCGGTTCTAGCTCTGCGGCTTGGAAGCGGTCGACCAAGAAGAACCGATTCCGCCGGAAGAAGGGCAAGGGCAACAAGTGGTGGGCCGACATGGATCGCGTGTCTTTCCGCGTCCTACTGACTGAGGAAATGGGCTCCAACAAGGTTTCGTCGGTATTGCGCAAGTATATGAATGAGTTCCCGATTCTGAACAACAATTGGTCGGACCAGGAGCTCGTCATGATCGTCTGCACGCTCATTAAGATGAATCGCAGCGAGATGGCGCTCGAGGTGCTGCGTAACCAGATCAAGGAACCTGACCGCGATCGTGTTAACCGCGTGGCAGCAGCGAGTGCCCGAATGGGCAACGCACAAGTGGCTCTGGGCGTATTAGAGATCGCCAACCACTTCAACTTGGCGCCAGATGTGATTACTTTTACTAGTGCCATTCACGCCTGTGCCCGCAGTGGCAAGTACGACGTGCCAATGGCGCTGAATCTGCTGAACGAGATGATTTCCGCTAACGTCCAGCCTAATGCACGCACATACGGCGCAATGATCCTGGCGTATGCGCGGATGGACCGCTGGGAGGAAATCCTGGAGCTGGTGAATTCTATCCCGTATACGGACGAGGCACACAAGACGGAGGTCTTCACGTGCGCGATTATCTCGTGCTCGCGCAATCGACAGCACCACTATGCCTCCAGACTTTTCGAGTTGTTGCTGGAAGATGGCGTCTATCCGGGCGACAACGTCTGCAACGCTGCTCTTAGCTCCTGTGCACGGACTCCCGACGTGGCACAGCTTCGTCGCATCTTCAAGCTGGTGGAGAATCACGCTACACCTTCGACATACTCGTACAACTGCATGATCTCGGCTTATGGCAATGCTCGCAGCATGGATAAAGCGCTTAAAGTCTTCGAGAGCATGCAGAACGAAGCTACTATCGCTCCAGATATCGTGACTTTCAACTCGTTGCTTCTTGCTGCAGTGCGCTCGCGAAGGCTGGATATGTTTCCCTTCATTCTGTTGCTGATTAACGAAGCTGGCATCAAGTGGGATGCTATCACGCTCAACATTCTACTGGAGGGCTGCTCTTTGAATGGAGACATTGAATTGGCCCAATATTATTGGTCTCAGGCCACTCAAGGCAAACAGCCCAGCGCGGATGTGTCTTCAGAGGATAATCATCATGTTACCCTGGATCGCGGACACTTTGAGACGCTGATGGCGGTGTACATCGCTGCAGGGGATTATCAGGCCGTCGTGGATTTGTGGCAGAAGAGCAGGCTTTGTCGTCGTCGTGCAAAAAGCTCCAAGTCGCTCAATTTCCTCCTTCGTGCGTGCGAGGGTCTGAAATATGACAAGACGGCTGTGGCGGTCCTCGCTGAGTTCGCTGATCGTGGCCAGCCTCTCTCACCAATTGCGCACCAGCACATGCTGGAAGTTTTCCTTGCAGCTGACAAATACGACGCAGCGTCGGCTTATCTACACAAGATGATGGAGACGGATGGTTTAGTGTCCACCTTCTCATTTACCGTTCTTATGAAGTATCTGGCCAAGAACAAACGCCACTCGGATGTGCTGGCGGTGTTTAATCTGTACTTGGAAACTTGCGAGTCAAATGACCAGAACTCGCTGCTGCAATATCCAACGGATGCTGTCTACGTATTGGCGATGCGCTCGGCTGTGGAGCTGGAGGATCACGAAACTGTTCTTGCGATCTACAGCGGCTTGCCGACCACGATGTCTATGGCTGTTCATACAGAACTGCTCGTGTTGGCCGTGTCGTCTTGCGAGAGTGAAGGAGATTGGCGTGCTGCAGTCACAATGTATGATGAAATGACTGGGAGACTGGATGAAGACACGAATGTGGAAATGTACAAGCACATTGTCAAGATTGTCGCCAGTGCTGGGGAGTTTGATCGTGCCCTTGATGTGGGAGGTGGCCAATGGTATCGACAGAATAGACCCGACCAGGGCTGGGGGCTGTGAGTCAAGTGATTACCGCAAGTGCCTTGCAAGTTTCGTTCCTGTCGATTTACTCCTTGGCCTAAACGAGGTCGATACCCGAGTAGTATGAGTTGACAGACCGAATTAACAATGCGACATCGTTCACTAAAAACTAACTTTATTGGAGGCAAATCTACTCCATCCATTTAATAGAGCCCACCAACAGATTGCGTGAAGGCAGCGGGCCCGGAGAAGGCACTAGCAGCACCAACTTCTGCTCGCTGACTCGAACTTCCTTACTGCACAAACAAGATAATTAGCATCATCGGTAGATTATGAAGCAGGGTGATAACATCATTCAGACACACTTACATGAACACGAAGCCCGCTGCAGAGGCACCGAGAAGCCACGAGAGATCTGTTGACGACGAGGAGGACTCTTGGCCGTGTCGTGGATGTGCAACAGCCGCCAATGAGTGTCCAAGTTCAGCGGTTTTCTCCACGGGTACTACGCGCAGGCGGTCAGTCTGCGTCTCCACTTGGCCTACCGGAAGCATCACGTCGGACACTTTCATATCTGTTCACGGCAGCAAATACGAGCCAATAGCTACGTAAGCAACAAAACTCGCAATTAAACCTTCAACAAAGGCCAACGCACCTTTAATCGCAAAGAATGACACATCGTCGAACGAGAGCTCATTGATACAGGGCGACAGCGTGGGGATGGCTACAGTCAGCGCGTGGGCGCCGTAAAAGTACTCGCGAATGCTGCTGATACGCGCCGCTGAGCGCATTTTGCTGTTCAGCGGGACCACTCCGCCCGACCGCGACAGCTTGACAATTGACCTGTCCGCTCCATTCGCATTCGCACCCGTCAGCGCACTCTGTAGACGACTGTAGAGTCTATCCTGGCCAATGACCAGCACCAAGTCCACGTCAAAATCCTTGATGGCGTGCACCAGCATGTCGAAGCCTGTGCCGTCCACCCAGCCGCACGTGTTGATGACGCATCCGGACGCGTTCACTTCTTCATCATTAGCTAGTCGACGCTTCACCGCCTTGGATAGTACCTGCTGCTGATAACGAAAGAGCTCGACGTTCTCGGAGGACGCAGCGTGGCCATAGAAATAGGCCAGCGGGTTAGTCAGGATGAAGTCCTCCTCAATACTGAGCGAGTTCATGTCAAGCGGCGAGGCAGAGATCGTTCCTGGGACGCTAAGACAGCCTTGACCCACATCTAGTTCCACAAGTGTGGGCTTCTCGCCTAGACGCAGCGCGTAGTTGACGAGAATTTGCGTGAGCGTCGATTTGCCGCTATCCATGGGTCCACAAACAAGCACACGCGGGCCTGCGGCATGCTTAGCCTTGGACAGTTCGCGACGGCGCTGAAGCTGGGCGTGAATGTTTAAATAACTGTCCATAGGCGTCTCCTCTGACGTATAAGCCTCCTCCAGGGCACCGCGCACCTCTAGCGTGCAGCCATACCACGTAAAGATGGCCAGCTTGCGGTCGCGAAACACGTATTCACGATCGATGGCCAACTCGACGCCGAAGAGCTCGGCTGATCCACTCTTCAGCTTGATGCCTACTTCCGTCTGCGGCGGCACTTCCACGCGGTACTCGCATTCGCGTGCCACTACCTCTGTCGTCGTCGCAGCCTCCGTGCTCATGTTACTGTTCTCTGGATTTTATCCAGACGACGTGATAATCCAGTAATTTCGTATACCCCGTCATAACCGTTTTGTATCGTTTGAGTGTTTAGCTACAGTGCCCGGGTCTTGATGATTTGGCGGGTATAACAATCGATAAAAATATTTCCGTTGCACAAATAGTATTTGGTTGACCCCTTCACCAAAGATAAAGACAATTTACCTTTGTTAAATTTGTTTGCGATGTTACTGTATTGTAGCCTGCTAGAGCTACACCTTTTCCAGTCCAAATTGATCAAGAGCAAGTTATTGTGCTTTGCAGCCTTTTTGACAGTTTTAGTAGTAACTCGTACGATTTGTGAATGTATCGCTATCTACAAATCGTATTTAAGTACGATTTGTTGTAATCCGTGAGCGAGTAAGTGTTCCGGCATCAATAGAGTTCGTAGATGTACTGAGTAGCGCGGAGTCAACCAACATGATAAGCATTTCGTTTGGCACTTTTAAAAAGTGCCATTTCAAGACAAGTCTTACAGCATGGCGTATTTAAAAGACCTTCGTTGGCGTGCGGTAGTACTATTTTTGTTTATAATTATGAAGTGGTCCAGATAGGCCACGTGCTCGGAGCCTCGGCGCGCTCCATCTTGCGCTGGAATCAGCTTTTTTAAAGGCATGGCATGGTGACAGGCACGAAGCGGAGAAAGCGAGCCTCCCGGTGGCCGGCAGCTGTGTGCTCGTTCGTATTAAAGTACGTCCAGGACCACCCATGCTTTTATTTGGAGGAACTACAAGACACGCTTCGCTACAAGTTTGGGGATATTAAGTTGTCGACAGCAACAATTTGCAGAGCTCTTCGGTTCGATTTAGGGCTGTCAAGGAAGGTTTTAACTAAACGAGCACGCGAAGCTAAGGCCTACCAAGTGCAAGATTACATTGACAAGCTAACTCCCTTCTACTCAGCGCCCGAGCAG